TTTGATTGCATGATGGTTTAAAATTTGTTACCTTGTTTGTTTGCTTGGATTTTTTTTTTTTTGTTTTTTGTTTTTTAATTCAATAACTATTACTTGCATTTTAAATTGTTAATTTGAACTTCCTATTTATTTGGGTGAAAAAATTGCAATACCTCTTGGAAATTTGTTTGATACCTATGAACAAGGTGGAATACACACTTGTGAGACTAATTCAAACTAAAATTTCAAATACCATATTATCAAAGATATAACAAAATTCACTAGACTCTCTTCGAAGAAACATTGAAAAGAATGAACCAATTTCATTCAAAATTAACTTGCCTTTATATAATGGCAGACTGATGAAGTTAGTTGATTGATTTGATTTGACTAGATTTAGAACTTTAAAGGATAAATTGATTATAATCAAACTGTTTCACGAAGGAAACACGTTTTTGGTTTTTTTAGCTGTTGATTCCTTGATTGATGCAGGGTTTATGGCAAGATTTCACAAACCCCACAATGGCATTGGTGCCTTTCCGACTAACCCTTTCAGTTACAAAGATGATATATGATTATAGTATCATGTAAGAATGTAAATTTACAATAATAATATTAAATAAGTGAATATATATAATATTTTTATAACTATCTGAATAAAAACAATCAATTATAAAATGATAAATTATAACTATAAACTTATAATATCATATTAAGTACGTTTAAATTATATTATTTTTCTTTCAATTGATATTTGCAATGAGCTCCATAATATTGAATTTACCGTACATTTTTCCTAATATTATTTGCCAACTATAAGCAAACAAGAGTGAATAAGATCGTAATCCATTACTCCCAATTTATGAAAAGTAAAGATCTTCTTGGGATGACAAAGAGGTTTTGAAAGGATGATCAAATCATGGAATGATGAGAATTAGATATGATAGGATTTGGGGGGACACCTACAATGTTCTAGAGGAATATTATGCATGCTTGGAGAATTAATGGAAGGGCTACCAGTAATCCTTTAGGTCGTTTTAATTGTTCCTTGAATTTTGTGCACATAAATTAATTTAATATAGTGAATTTTTTTTGGTAGTTTAGACTATGTGAAATTGTAAAGAAAACAGTCATTCATATAAAAAAAAGCACACAATATTTCTCCATTATTAAGGGTTGATTTTGTCCAGTTTGGTCCAAACTACTCCAAACATTTACTTGACAAGAATTATTTATAATTAAAAGAAATTCAAATGCTACCAAAATCAATCAATGAAAAAAAAATCATTTTGGATTGGTTAATTCACAATCTCCTTACAACATTAATTTTTAGTAGTGATTGTACAACCTTTTTATATTATTAAATAGTTTACTTAACATCATAATATTAAATGAATAAAAAAATTTAATAATTTAAATGACGTATAAAATTATATAAAAATATTATCACTGAATCATTTTTCTTAATTTTTACTAAAATTAATCCATACATCTCTCCACTAGATTACTTCATCCTCCACTAGAACAAAGAACATTAATTTCCTAGTCAAAGTTTTTCTACTTTGTAATTGATTCCTTTGTTCTTTTGCAAAAGGGGTTATTTCTTATGTTAAGTGCCTCATTTAAATATAGCTTTATGTATATACTTTTAATTAACATTCTTTACATTTACATGTGCATGCATGTATCACATAAGATGTTTTCCCCCCCTTTGAAAAAGTCCATTAATCTAAACCACACAAGTTTTACTTTTATACATAGGAGTGAAGTAATCTTTTTTAACTTACTATATCAAGTACATACCCCCATCAACATCTAATTTTAATTATCCACGGCCCAACTAGAGATGGTTTCAATAAATCATTAAAAGGATGTATACATCGAATTGGAGGCCGGCATGCGGAGGAGTATGAGGAGATGTATCAAATTATACTATATTTATCCTCAAAAGCAATAGTATTAATTTAGCATATAAGAAATTAAGAATCCAAGGTGGGGTTGGCCAGCCGAGATTGCCGGATTTGCTGATAAATATTGGTAATCCAATGATGTTAATCTGTGTTTTGTGTTGAGAAACACAATCATTTCCATATTATAAAAAATTAGGTAAAAAAATTTAAAATTATGTTTTTTTAATAAAATTTTGTTTAGAAAAAATTAAAATATTTTAATTTTTAAAGTAAAAATGAGATTATTTTAATTTTTTTATAATATTTTATTAAAATAATATATTTGAGTTTTTTTTGGTTAAATGCTTAATTTGGTCCCTTAACTTTATGAAATGCACATTTTTGGTCCCTCAACAATTTTTTGCACTTTTTTTATCCCTCAACTATACAAAATGCACTCCGTTAGTCCTTTTGTTAATTTGGGTCGTTAACCCTGCTTAGGTGGCATTTTTTATATTTTTTTTGATGATGTGGAGAGCAAAACTTAAAAAAGTGATGATATGCATAAAACTTCTGCCATGTCACATGCTATCCTCGCGAAATCGTGCCAAATCCATCCAAATGGATCC